GGAGCAGGGCACTCTCATAGTTTAATTTATTCTGTTCTGCTTGAATTTCATTGGCAAAATGCTGCTCCAGACAGCCCCACAGACGCAGGCTCCTGGCTACTCCTATAGATCTAGATGACAGGTTTCTTCAGTGCTAGGCTAGCTCAGTCTCTGCAGACTAGACTCAAAACCTGCCTCAGCCCCAGGCTACCCCAATGGATACAAAGGCAATGTCTATTCCTATAATCCAAGCATCAGGGATGACCCCATATTCCTAATCAACCAGTTCTCCCTACGTGGCCCTACAGCCAGGCCTTGAGGCTCAACTCTGAGGCGCTAGGCTCTAGACCAGTCTCTCTAGATGCAGGCTCTAGGCCTCCCATCTGCTGACCCAGCAGCAGGTCTGCTTACTTGAGATCTCCAGTGTAAGCCTGCTTGCAGAGCCTACCAGATGGCTTACCCAGATTTTCTGGGGACTGATAGTGACTTTTTTCACTGCAGACAGAATATAAAAGCTGGAAAAGGTGCCAACTTCTAATGCAAAGACAAGAAGACATGGCCACAGGGTTGCAGGACATATGGTATGTCAACAAAAAAAGAAAACAAACTCCAGTAGTAGGTCCTAAAGAAATAGGAAGTTGTGAATTACCTGAGAAGTCACATAATTGTCTTTGTGGCATGTTGTCAGTTTGATAGTCTTAGAGTCATCTATCAGGGAGATGGGCCTCTGGGGAGGCCCGAGGGGGGTTATCTTCATTACGCTAACTGATATGGAAGAACTGCCCACTGTGGGTGGAGTCATTTCCTAGGCTGGGGTCCTGGATCCTGCAGAAAACAAGAGTGAGCTTAGCACAGGCATTCATGGTTCCTGCTTCTTGATTGGGGTTGTGATGTGACCAGCTGTCTCAAGTTCCTGCTGCCTTGACTGCCCTGCCTGATAGACAGTTTCTTGAGCTATGAGCGCAGACAAACCTTTTCTTCCTTTAAGTTCCTTTGGTCCAGGCATTTTATCACAACATCAGGAAAAGAAACAAAGACGGCCAAAGATCTCAGTGAGCTACGAGAGAACGGAATGACAACTTCAGCAAAGAGACAGAAGCCAGAAAGGACCTAAAAAAAAAAAAAATCAGGAAAGCAATTCCAACAGCTACAAAGTGAGCAAAAATACTTAGGAACAGATTAAGCTAAGAGAAAAACCTATGCACTGAAACTCCAATTGAAACTCCAAAAGAAACACAAAGATGGTCTATGTTTGTATATTTTTTCTTTCTCACTGTGTATGTGTGTGTCTCTGTGTGTGTGAGTTGTATATGTGTGTATGCATGTTTGCACATGAGTGAGTGCACATGGAGGTCTGGGGTTGATGCAGGGAATCGTCTTCGATCACTATTCCACCTTGTTCATCAAGGCAGGGCCTCTTAATCAAACCCTCTGAGCTCTCTGAGACGACTATTCTCCCCAGAGTCTTTACTCTGAGAATCTCCCTTCTGAGCCTGGAATTACAGGCAGGCTGCCGTACACTCCTGACACTGATGTGGGTTCTGGGGATCTGAACTCTGGTCCTCAGGCTTGCACAGGGCGCTTTTGCGGTTTAGCCCATCTCCCCAGATTGAGAATTAGAGTTTTAGAGTGTTTTATTCACCAAAGAAACTTGTAGATCCAGTCCGATCCTTCTCAAAAACCTTCAGTGAGACTTTGCAAAGAATGAAAAAAAAATCACACACAATCCCAGACTCTTGTGTATGACATCACAAAGACTGAATAATGCAAATAATCTTGAATGAACAAAGCTGCTGCTGTCCAGTCTCTTCTGCTGAGTGTGATAAAGATGCCAGAGGTGCACAGCTGGGAAGGAATAGCCTCTTCCGTGAATGGTGCTTGGAAAACTGGATCCCCACATATGAAGACTGAAATTGGACATATATTTTCCTACACACAGAAATTAATTCAAAATGGATTACGTACTAAAAGCTACTAGAAGATAAAGGGGGAAGCCTACCCACTTTGACTAAGCAACAATCCTGTGGATTTGACCCTAAAAGAACAGAAGCAGAACTAGATACACAGGCACGCATCAGACTACAGAGCTTCCCACGGCAATGGAAATAATCGGCAGCCCGAAGAGAAGACCCAAGGACTGGGAGAAAGGGTATGCAAACCAACCAGGGGTTCGAATCCAAGGTAGGCATGCCTGCCTACAGATGAACAGCAAGGAAGCAGGAAGTCCAGCTAAAATATGGGCAGCGGGGCTGAACAGATATCCTGGCTAGTAACTAATTGAAAACCCCCAAACTGCTAATAGTATTCAAATTGTTACTAATTATATGCAAACAAACACGATGATGGGGTGGGATGTGCTCGTGAGGATGGCCATTATCCAAATGATAAAGACAACAGGTGTCTGTGAGGATTTCGAGGAAAGGGAATGTGTGTAGGCTGTTAAGAGTGTGATTGGTACAGCCCTTACGGGAAGCATTAAAAACAGAACCGCAGCAGTGTCCAGCAATACCACGTGTAGGAAGATACTCAAGGGAATGAAATGAGCACGGGGAAGAGATCGCTCTGTGCACTCCTCGCACGGCCACTGTAGCGGCCGCAAACACAGAGTCAGCCTAAGTGTTTGTTGGTGCAGAAGTGACAGCCTCTCCCTGGAATACCATTCAACCTTGAAAAGGAAATATACTTTGTTGTTGTTGGTGGCGCACGCCTTTAATCCCAGCACTTTAATCAGGAGGCAGAGGCAGGCGGATGGATCTCTGTGAGTTCGAGGCCAGCCTGGTCTTCGGAGTGAGTTCCAGGACAGGCTCCAAAGCTACATAGTGAAAGCCAATATTGACAAAGGTGCCAAAATCATACACTGGAAAAAAAAGAGACAGATTCTTTAAAAAATGGTGCCAGGAAAACTGAATAACCACACATAGAACANATATATAGTTTTTTTCAAGGCATATTGGCTTTTAGCAACATGGATGGAGCTGAAACATATTTTATAAGTGAAAGGAGCCAGTTATAGAAATTCAGCATCATAGGAGCTCACGTCATTGGGGGATGGAGTTTTGATTGGACAGGAGAGGTAAGTTCTGGGGATGGGCTGTATGGAAATGGTGAGGGGAGAGGAAAAGCCCAGACTGAATCCTTGAAAGCAGTTCAGAGTGAACTAAAGGTCTGTGAGCATCAGCTAATTGTTTCACAGCGTGAGCGTGATTTAATTGTTTCACAGTGCATAAACACACCCAAGTCTCACTGGGTACACTGGGAATGGACACGGATGTTTTGTCCAAGAAAAATTTTAAGCAACAACAAAAAGAAGAATTTTGTTGTTCTACAAACAGCTATGCTGATCTTGATGACTAACCCAATCTTGCTGTCCACCGATGGCCCTGAGCTGATCTGTCGGAGATGGCAGGCTTCTCTGAGTCCTCTTTCCCATCACATAGATTGTTCTTTCTCCCAGAAGCCACACAGAGGTGTCCTTCCTGCCTTTGGAGTTCTAATTCAAACACCCCTTCTGCAAAAGATCTTCCCTCCAATGCCCCCTCCCCCAGATTAAAGGGCAGCAGAGCCCATCTTCCTCTCTCTCCCCCGACCATGTTCACCCTTCCCTATCCCATCAAAACCTCCTCGTTCCTGCTAGGCAGAGCTCGCTACCCCTCTGTCCTCCTGGAGAGAACTCGCTTACTTTGTTCACAGCTGGGACCTCGACGCCTTGCACAGGTCAGGCAAACAGTAGGCGCTCAGTAAGTGCTTATGCCGAGTGGGCCAATCTCTCGGCGGCTGGTGGAATTGTGGGCTGTCATTCAAGGGACACCATGTCTGTCGCTGCAGTCAGCCTGCATGAGTGTCCTCTTTCCTCTCTCCATCTCTTTCCACAGAAGGCTTGTGACAGCCTGTACAGACAGTGAAGTGCAGAATGGTAGAAAATTAAGGCTCAGAAGCAAGAGATGGAGAGGGCAGGAGAGTGGGCTGCAGAAACAGTGCAGGCTCCATCCCGCTTCACAGGGACCAGACTGGGTTTCAAGGGCAGCTACAAGCGCTGGGTTTGCCTTCATCTCCCAGGGAGCTTGTCATGAACATCGTTTCTCTCAGAAAGTTTTTGACGCAGAAGGGTGGCAAAGGGCTCCAGGTTATGTTCTTGGAAAAGAACTTGCCAAGTGAGTTTCCCCTCAGGTATTTGTATGTTTTGACAGTTGACAGAGCAGGTGACATGTTTTTCAGTAAAACTCGAGGATCCTGATCAGAACCTGTACCTGTCTACCTGTCACAGTTGTGGGAGTCACCACACTCCTGCCAAGGGGCTTGTGAAAGGAAATCCCTTCTTGTCTTCTCTTGCCTTTCTCCTCTTGCCTCCCTGTTTGTCTTTTTCTTTCATCCCTCCCTTCCACTTCACTTCTTTCTTTTCCCTCCTCCTTTTTCTCAGCTTGGGTCAAACTCACGGTCTTCCTCCTGTGGCCTCCCAAAAGCTGGATCACAGATGTGCACCATCATGTCTGATGCGCACAATGGTCACATTAGGGTTTTGAACCTTCCTGGGGTGACCATGTCTCAGCACGAGTGTGTGTGTGTGTGTGTGTGTGTGTGTGTGTGTGTTTGAATCACCAATGGAGCATTTGTGCAAGTTCTGCTTCGCTGGATGACCTGTAACCCGACGTCACATCAAGGGTTTCTTCCCCCATGGTGGGGGTGGCTCCAAAGATGGCTCCTACAAATTCTGCTTCCTGGTCCTCCTGCTCTTGGATGATTCCCTCGCAGGAAGTCTGGGCTAGCTTGTGACTCAGTTTAACAAAAAGAACAGAGAACTGTGATGTAATGCCAGGCGTAGGTTGAGCCTTAGGAGAGTCTGGAAGCTTCCTCTTTTGTGACCCCTAAGCTGCCTGGTAAGAAACCAGACTAGTGTCCTCCAGTGACCACATGGAAAGATTACTCATGGAGACTTCACAGAAATGGAGACAGAACCCAGCCTCCTGCCACCCTTTTAAGCAGGGGACATATGAAGAAACAAACCGGAATCTCCCAGCCTGGCCCAGCTGTGTACCCAGCTGCTACTGCAGGGAGCAGAAGAGGCACCCAGCTGAGCCTTGTCAGTCTCCGCCCAGGCGACACCCAAGAGATGGGTAGGTATTAAGTTTCTAAGTTTGGGGTGATTTGTCAGCCGGGATAGCTAACAGAAACACTTGGGCGCCACATCTACTCCTGTCCCTGTAGCTCTCCACAGGAGTTGCTGGCCTGGGATGTGTGAAGGGGATGGAGCGAAGATTGCCTGCTCATGCTCCCCCTCCCCCATTATTTCTTCCACATCCCAGGCGTGAGATACTCTCTTAGACTTTGGTCCAAGTGAGCGGCCAGTAGCGTCTGGTATCTGACTCGGAAGCCCCCTTAGAACAGGTCAAGGGCCTTTTGGAATTCCAGCAGCACGTCACCTGGCAGACAGGCACCTGTTTAAGTGGCTAATTCAGTCAAGAAGTTGAGACATGGTGCACCGCTCCACCGTGCCTGGAATCCTAACAGGCGAGGCCACCAGAGAGGAGCTCCTAGGAACCAGAGGCATGCTGGCCCCGCCCCAGGCATTGGGCCGGGTCTGCCCAGGATTCAGAGTCTTTGGGACGGCAAAACCACGATGGTTTGCTTGTCCAGCACCCTAACAGCTTCCTGGACAGATTCACCTAAGAATCATTGCAGGCTGTGGGAAGAGCTGGTGATCTCAGTTCAGGGGAGGCCTTTGCTAGAGGCATGGACCCCAGTCCATCTTTAGCAAAGGACAGATAGCAAGGGGCTGTAACTGGAGAGAAAATAGATGTCTCTGCTTTCTCAGCTGGAGCACACAGGGAGAAGAACTCTGGACAGCACGGAGCTGCCTCCCAGGGCCCAAGGACTGAGAATCAGGGTCTGCTCATGTTTCCTCTCTGTTTCTCCCTCACCCATCCTGCACCACCTTCCCCTCTTCTTCACACCCAGGCTGGAGCCTGAGGACTGATAAAGCCAGGTCAAGCGCACTCCTTAGCATCCTTCCTTCAGCGATGCTCAGACCCAGTTCCTTGCAGAGTTTTCTGGCAGCTTCTTCCTCCTGATCCAGGCAGCTGTGGTGAGGGCCAAGCAGTTGCCCCAGGCGTGGCTTCTGCGCATGGGCAAAGGCGGTGTCTGCGAGAAGCAGAGCATTCTGGGCACTGCCCATGGGACACTTTCCACAGCGATGGACAGAAATCAGACTAGAGAGATACAAACACGGGTGGGAGGTGGGGGATCAGAAGGAGACAGTCACTGTTGGAGTTGTCCAAGTGCGGGGTTAACATCCGGGTGACATATGGAACTCTCCACACAGCCTGCACCCACCTCTCTTACTTGGCTCTCTCTAGTCTTGGTCTTGGTGAGGAGTTAGCACCCCTCCTGCATGCAACAGCAGCTCCTCACATTCTAGCACCCTGGAGAGCCCCCAAGGGAAACTCCTTGGCCTGGTAAGGCTCCTCCATTGTGTTCAGAGTTAGCCCTCAGTGAGCACAGGCTTCGGAGGTCATTGCCTGAGTGTACCTGAGACTGACATGGGAGCCTCTGGAGGTCTGGGGGCGTGGTCTAAGGGTGGGCGTGTGTGTAAAGATTGTGCCAGGTTTCTCTGGAGCTGGTGGGAGGCTGGAGTCAAGAGAAAATGCCGACTCATCTCTGTTTCTGTGACCCTGCTCCTAAACTCCAGCTGGGTGGGTTTGGAAAATACAGGTTCTGTCGATTTTCAGCAGACATTCCCTTGCCTAGAGTTCCCGGTCCATCTACTGATCCTCCAATGGACGGCTGTTAGGTGTTCCTGCTAATGTGGGCTCAGAGGCTCAGAGGGTCCAGGCCATTCGCTCAACAGTCACAGCAACCCGAAGTTAGGAAGAGAACTGTCCGGGAAGGGGTCCAGTTCTGCCTCACCGTGCCCTGGGGAGCCAAAGCCGGAAAGTTCAAGTGCATCCCGAATGCCAGGTGGTCAGCAAAGCGCTGGTAACCAACTAACTTCACAGCCTCTCTTTAATTTCCAACCCCCTGTGTCACATAGCCCAGGTGGTGCTTAGCCAGCCCACCCTGGATTTCCAGTTCTGTGACAAGCCCTTCACCATCCTGGATTCACAATACGTGGCCCCCAACTCCCCACCTTTCCTCAGCCCTGGCGCCCCAGGTGTCTCTTTGATTGCCGTCAGTGAAGGGCAGCTCAGCCAGAGCCTGCTGTGGCTGGAAGCTTTTCATCCTGTTCCCTGGTAGCTCCCAAGGTCACGCCTCACTTTGACAGAGAGCAGAGGACAAAACCCAGACAGGTGGAAGCATGAAGAACCCACAGCTGGACACACCTGTCCTGACCTTCCCAAACCCCAGAACCCCCACCAGGCGGTCATGGAGTCTTTGAAACTGAAGCCTGTGCTTCTGCTCATAAAAAAAAAGGAATAAATCTGGACTTGGTAAGATGCATACATGAAGCACTTGTCCTGCTGGCCATGGCCAAGACTCCGTCAACTTTGCAGCTCACACTCAAGTCACTGGTGTTGGGCGAGCATCAGCCATCAGCAGGCTCCAAGGATGCAGCGGCTAAAACACATTTGCAAGGAGGAGGCTGTGGGTCTGGGGAGATGCAAAGGAATACGCGGCTAAACAACCCCCAGGTCAAAGAGGAAATCACAGCGCAAATAAGAAAATATTTTCAACTGAACAGAGATGAAAATAGGAGCCCATCAAAACCCGTGGGATGTGGTGAGAATACTCCAAGCTGACATGCTGCAACTGGGGCGAGAAGTCAGGGACCCTATGAGCTTGATAAGAAAAAATAATGATGTGTACTCACATATGCGCAGACATACAGAGACACAGAGACACACACACACACACAAATCTGTCTTAAACAATCTGAAATGGAAATTTAGCACTTCCTTCAATCAGGGACATAGGAACGCAGTGTAATGGTCTTAGCAGTGTGTGTTGTCAGAATCACAAATATTGCTTTAGCTCTGCCTACCCGCTTAGAATCGAGGCTGTTTATTTCTCAGTCATAGCCTTTCTACCTCTCAACAGGACTTGGGCATGTACCAGCATACACACGCGTGCACACACTGCCGGGAAGGCGACCCTGCATAGTAACGTCCCCAACAGCATCTGGCAAAGAGCACCTGCTCACCCGTGTTCATGTGACAGTCTAAAAACGACCAATAACGGGTTCATATCATTTTCCTTTTATTTCTTGAGTCAGGGTCTCACATAACCCACACTGGCTTGGAGATTGCTAGGTAGCTGGGGATGACCTTGAACGTCTGATCTTTCTGCCTTCACCGCCTAAGTGCTGGGATTACGGTGTGCACCACCACACTGGGAAGTCCTGTGGACGGAATCCAAGGCTTTGTGGATTCACCAGCTGAGTCCCAGCCCCAGACGTTTCTTGAGCTTTTGATCCTTATTTTGTATTGAAATAACATAAGATGCACAAGAAATAGCAAGGACAGTGGAGAGAGGCCCCATGACCCTTCACCTGTTTAACCATCTTTTAAAACTGTGTTTAACATTAAAACTGGACATCAGCGTTAGAGAAAAGTGTGGGCTAGCTCTTTGAAGTTTTGAAAATTTTTTTTGTACAGATTACATAACCAGCACAAAGAAGACACAGAGCCAATGTTCCTGACCCTCTGTGATCAATATTGTTCCACTTTCAAAACCTTGGAAATTGCTGCTCCAATCTTCATTTTTGTGACTTGGCGTTTTAAAGACTGTTATGTTTGTTAACTTTGGAGCTTGGCTTTGTCCCCACTCAGACCTTGAGCTACTTCCAGATGTCTTGTACTCGGTCATTCTTCCTCTCTTGCTCCTGGTGTAGATTCACCAGGTGTTTAAACAGTCTCAGATTGTAGAACCTTTTGGTTGTTTCCAAACGTGGGTTGTGTTTTTGTGTGGACGTGTTTCATCTCTGTGGGATGAGAGCCCGGGAGCAGAAACACAGAGATGTGTGTGTCAGGATGTGCTTAGCTGTAAAGGAGATGCTCTACTGTCTTCCAGAGGACATCACCACCTTACATCACAGTGGCAGAAGAGGGGGCCCTGGCTTCCTGCATCATCACCGGCACTGGGAGGGCGTTACAAGGTCTCATGTAGCACAGGCTGACCCCAGACTTATTATTTAGCCAAAGCTAGCCTTGAAATCCTGATCCTCCCATTTCTACATCCCCAGCGCTGGAATGACAGGCAAGAACCACTGTGCCTGGTATCTCTGTGGTTTTACGTTGCATTCTCTAGTGGTTAGGGATATTGAAGTTTATGGCATTATTTGCTATTTTTATATTATCTTTGGCAAATCCATGTTCATGTCTTTGTGTTTTCCCATTGCATTTCTAATAAGTATAGTAAAATGTACACAACAAAATTTGCCGTTGATACTTTTTGTGTGTGGTGTGCCTGTGTGTGTATGTATCTGTTCAGCCACAGATGTGGAAGTCTGAAGACAACCTTGGATATGGGTCTTTACCTTCTGTCTTGTTGAAGGCAGCATCTCTCGTTGTTCATTGCAGGCTCCTGGCTTTAATTTCTGGGAGTTCTCCTATCTCCACCTCTCATCTCTCTGGAGGGACACAGGGATTATAGACATGTGCTACTGTATCCAGCTTTTACGTGGGTTCTGGGGGTCTAAGCTCAGGCTTGCATGCAAGTTTTTTTTTTAACCCACTTAGCCATCTCCGCAACCCCTGTTTTAATGGTCTTAAAGTGTCTAGTTCAGGAGCACTGTGTATTTCCAAGATCACACACCGATTTCCAGAACATTCTAATCTCACAGAACTGAAACTCTCTGCCCTTGAAACAACTTTCCATTTTTCCCAGCTCACCCCTGACAACCTTCCCCCTCAGTCCTAAGAATTCGACTGCAGTAGGTGTGCTATATGAGCAGAGCTGTGTTTATTCATCTTCTTATGATTGGCTATTTACCCTGCGTCAGATCCTCAGTGTTCACTGACGTGGAAGCGTGCGTCAGAACTGTCTTCTGTTTTGAGCCTGATAACAAAAATCCTCTATGCATGCGTCACTTTTCATTGATCCATGTCTCCGTCCTGGGTCTGAGTGGTTTCTGCCTGTGGCCTTTGTGGACCGAGCTTCTGTGGATGCAGCTACGCAAACA